CAGATCTTGAACCCCTGCAGGGGGCGCAGGGATTATACTATCCATGGACAAACGAGGCCGTTGTCTTAGAGACGGTGGTGGAGACGGGGAGCGCCTCCGCCGACGAGGTGTCTGCAACGACCGATTTAATGGTAGATGCCTTGGACGAAAGGGTCGCCGCGACGGCTGATCTGACCAGGAATGTGTTGATAACGAAGATGATGAATCAGACAAGGTAGAGGAGGACGGGCGAGATGACGAAGAGGGTAGAGAAGAGGTGGAAGAGAAGGAAGAGGGGGAAGAAGAAGAAGCAGAAGAAGGGGAGGAAAAAGAAGCAGCAGAGGAGGGATTAGATGACTGGTGGGATGATGTTTGCAGCCCGTCAGGGGTGCGTTTTATACCCCTGAGAACATTTTTCGTCGTCGTTCGTTGTACGGTCGTTGGAAGGCTGGAAAAACAAGGTATGGCAGTTTAGGGGGTGGTGGCATTTTATTTGAAACTGCAGGACCGGCAGCTGCCCGTGGGACCGCACGGGTTTTGGTCCAGGACCACGTAGGACCGGTAGCTGTGCCTAGGAGGCCTAGGAGGCCGAGGAGGCCGCAGTCCTTTTTCGAAATTGAAACGGTGCAGGTCCACTTACAACGTGTACCCTTTCTATTCGGATTTCGAAAAGAAAAAACTCTTGTATTCCGATAAAATTACTTCTTTTTGTTGGAGGTCAGTGCCTGCCCTTGTGCTCCCCGCCACTGACATGCTGCATGCTGCAGGTCTCTCTCTCTCTCTCTCTCACACACACACACACACACACACACACACACACACACACACACAATCAATTTTAAAGAAGTTTGTTTATCTCTGTTTTTTGGTATGTCTGTCTTTCTTTTCTTTTCTATTTTTTCTAAGTACATTTGTCTCTAGCCGAGCACCCTCTAGCAGTGCTAAACAGTCGGTGGCTCCTCGTTTGGAGTGCCAACTGCACTCTTAGGGGGGCGCTCGGTTCGAGATGTCTGTGTTGCCYGTAGGTGATGACGGATGGTCGTCGGAGTGTCTCCCTGGCTCAGTGGGTGGTGGGAACCAACAGTCTGCGGGGTTCACCCGTGATGTGAGTAGGTCATGTGCTGCTTTGCTCCGTGTTGGATGTGTGGACGTCCTCGTCTATGCTCTGCCGCGGTCTTGCTGCCCGTGCCGCTTGCTTTGCAGGTCGTTCTTGGCAAGCTGCTGTCTTCGCTGCGTGGTGTGGCCGGGGTGTGGTGTTGCCTTGCGCTTCACTGCTCCGCTGTGTCGCCGCCCTCTCGCTGGTCGTGCCTTCCGTGTCCTTTGCCTGCGCGCCGTGTAGTTCGGCTGCCGTGTTGGTGTCGCCTTGTGCCTCACAGCACGGTTGCTCTGCTGCGTGTACGCTCGCACTGTCGTCCCTTGCAGTGTGGTTGTCTTGGTGGTGTTGCCTGGTGCTTCACTGCTTGGTTGCCTTGCTGCAAGCCCTGCGTGCCGTGTCTTTCCTTGCAGCCGTCTTTGGCGTTGTGCGGTTGAGTGGCTTCGGGTGTGTTGCCTGGTGCTTCACACGGGTGCCACTCGCTRCTATGTTCCGCTTGTGGGCAATCTGCCTTCAACAAGGGGCAAAGGGTTCATGACCCAAAACATYCTAAACCGGCACTCCGCAGATTGTCGAGGGTTCAGCCTCCTGATGAGTCGGTGCAATTCCGACGATACAATCTTGTCATCATCAGTTTTTAATTTTTGTTTTTATTATTTTTTTTCGGTCTTCGCTGTTTTTGGGGACTTGTATTTTTTTGCTTTGCCTCTTTCTGYGTTTGAGTGACGTCTGCCCTCCCGCCTCCCCCGTGCCTTCCACCCATTGTCCTTTGATGTTGCCTGATGTCTTATGCTTGGGATATTTTTGTGTACTTGCACTTTTCTTTTGTCTTTCCTTGTTTTGTGCAGTTATGTATGGTCTGCCCCCCCACCTCCCCCGTGCCCCCCTGTCTTTGTGCCTTTCTGCAGTCTGTTGTCGTTGCCTCCTTGCCTTTTGCCTTATTGTGCTTCCTTTCCCCGCCCTGTGGTGTTTGTTTGATTGTGTGTGTTCCAGTTCGTTCCGTCTGCACCACGCCTACAAGTTCTTGTGCCCGAGCTTGCTCCTGTAGTCCGGCATAGTCATTCCCCACCTCCGAGTACCGGATGTGTCTGCACCACGCCTACAAGTTTTCATTCTTAAGGTGCGCCGATATATTATTTCGGAGCTTGAGTATGATGCGGTTTCCGTATCATACCGTAATCATGTCTTATTATGCGGGTTACACACTTACACGCACGCACACACACACGCACTCTCTCTCTCACACACACAC